GCCACGCCGCCCTTGCCGGCAAAAGTGTCTGCAAAATAGATATCGCTCACGAGCGGCCGCCCTTTAGCGGCAGCGGGACGACCAGTCCGTGGAGGATGATCGCCTCGGCACGTCGCTCGCACTCGGAGGCGTACATCTGTACTTCGATCGGGTGCTGGCGCTACCCGCTGGCGAGACGTGCGTGTCGCTCGTGGCGCAGTACGCTCTTGTCGCTGCGCCACTGACCTCTCTTCTTGATGTCGGCCAGGGTCCTCAGATGCCTGGCCGCGTCGATGGACGGGCCCGAGTGGCGGGCCTGGTAGGGCACTAACTTGGGTACCCCGATCTCCTGCGCAGCACGCCGGAAGCACTTCAGCAGGTCGCTGTAGTCGAAAGCCCACAGAGGTCCCTCCCCTGCGCTCTCCTTCAGCTCCCCCATGGCCGGGCCGATCCACGTCGCCCAGCTCGAGTCCAGGAGGATGGATACATTGGCGTCGCCTATCTTGCTTCTGCTCGCCGTCTCCTCGGGGTGAACCAGCAGCGACCAGTGGGACGTCACTCCGGGCGTAGGCGGCGTCAAGCCTGAGCCATGCATGCCCAGCAGCTGTCCTGGCCTCAGGTAGGTGCTCAGCATGATCAGCCCGAACAGCGCCATGTCGCGACGCCCAGCCGTCACTAGGGCGTTCATGAGCCCGAACCACACGCCCAGGGCCTCGGGCCTCCGCGAGCGGCCTGGGCACAACTTGCACCAGCCTCGGAGGGCCCGCCAGGCCCGGGGCAGCCTCTTGGAGCCCAGGCGATTGTAGGCCGGGCGGAGGTGCAGCCAGCCCGCCAGCGTCTTGGCCCCCCTCGAGGCCTCCACGCCGGCGAAGAAAGTCTTCTCGAAGTATGCGGCGAAAAGGCCGTCCAGCACGTCGTCCCCGATGCTGTCGACGTCCTTCCCCCTCGACTCGACGAACTGCTTGAACCTGCTCACTTCTAGCCTGTACTCTGTGTGCACGGGCCTTGTCACAGCCCGCTTCTCCAGCAGCGTCAGCCCGTTGCTCTGCGCCTCCATGGCCTCCTCGAGGTACTTGCGGAGGCGGGACTTGGACCGGTCCAGCAGCGTCCGCTGGCGCTTGGCGCTGACGCCCTCGCTGACGGATGTGGTGCCAGTGCTCGACGAGGGCGAGCGCTTCCGATGACGACGATCGGGCGGCTCGGCGAAGTTGCCGCTCGTGAGGTCGGTCATGGCCTCCGCCATCTGCTCCGGCGTCTTGGCAGTCGTGGCTGCCTGGCGCCCCACTGGCAGAGGGGCGAGGCCGGCGGCAGGCCGGAGGCTCAAGGCGCGCTCTCGCCGCGGCTGGGCCGAGGCGTGGCACCCTTGCCTCGGGGCGACTGCCAGTCCGCGCGCCCTCGACAGCCGCGAAGCCGCCGCCGCGGGCGTGGGCCCTGGGGCGCTGCTGCCACGGGCCCGCGCTCCTGGCGCACGGGCGGGGGCCGACAGGGTTCGGCTCTTCCGCGCGGCCGGGGCGCGCTTCATTGCTTAGAGCCAAGGGGGCGACCGACGGTCCAGAGTCTTGCTCAGGGTTCGCTGGAATAGGCTGGCTGCTGATGTAATTCATGATGTTCGGGCTTGGCTGCTGCTCCGCTATGTAAGCTTGGTTGCTGGAGTGGGCTGGCTGCTGATGTAATTCATGGTGTTCATGATGTAATTCACGATGTTCACGAACGTCTATATCGCTAACGCTGTGTGGCTTTACTGAATGAACGTAATGATGTTGGCTATCTTCTTGTACTTTATGTTGACTGTTACCCAGAAGCTCGTGTTCACATTCTTGCTCATGGTGATGATAAAGAGGCTCCGACGTTTGCTTGCTGACGACGTGGCTTCCGTGGGGCTCCTTGGGGTCCTGGGTGTCTGGCCGAGATATATGAGACGGGATGCACCAGGCCAATGAGCAAGAAGCGTTATCATCAAAGATACGAGAGGCCTCGTCCGCCGCCCCGTTGAGCTCACTCGGGATCCAGCGGACGATGAGACGGATGTTGCGAGCTAGGAGGTATGCACTGATGCGTCTGATGACTGCCAACATCGAGAACTCTTTTGACCGAGACCGACAGATCGACAGTACAACTCCCATGTTGTCGCAAAGATGCACGTGCCTGATGTCGTGGCCCCACCGCGACTGGGCGAGGCGGCGCACCGAGGCCAGGACTGCACGGGCCTCCAAAATGGCGATGCCCTCAGCCCTATCCCAGGTCCCGCTGCGGCAGACGGCCCAGCGCCCCTGGTCGAGCCACCCGGCCGGCACCTCCTCGAAGCTCTCGTCGGTGGCCCAGGCGCCGTCCGCTACCTCCTCGGGCGCCGAATGGCGCCATGGCCCGGAGCCGCTGTCGTCGACGAAGCCCGCATGCCGCATGGCACGCTGCCGCGGAGCCAGCTCCAGGTCGAGGCGGAAGCGGCTCCGCTCGGCCACGCGCCCGACCCGAGCGACCTCCCTGACGTCCACCATAGTGGAGGCGACGCCGAAGCCGCTCTCGGACGCGTCCGACGCCGTGACACAACGGTTCCAGGGCAACGCCCAGTCGCTGCTAAGGAAGACGAGCAGGCCCCGGAAGCAGCTGAGCTCCTCGCGGACGGACGCCCACATCACTTGCCGCTCCTTGTAGTTGGCCTGCACGAAGGCGTAGCAGGCGGAGAAGACGCAGAGCACCTCTCGCCTCACCAGCCCAGCATACGTGCAGTGGCCCAGGAGGCACTCCAAATCCTGGCCCGAGAGTCTGCCTCGTTGCAGCGCGTAGGCCAGAGCCCTCTCCAAGCGGCAGCGCCGCTTGCCGGTGATGGAGGTGCAGAGGCGCTCGCAGTCCACGACGACGCCGAGCACCGACCCCTTCCTCTCGAAGAACTCCACCTCGTGGATGTCGAGCTTCATCTTGTTGAAGGCCGCCACCTTCTCGTCCAGCGCCCTCTTGACTGAGCTCGCGTCCTGCCCCAGCACGCCCAGGGTGTCCACGTACACGTAGTGCCAGAGGTCCTGCTCGCGAGCCCCGCCCACTCTGAACACCATGGGCTCGCCGCGGTCGGTCGCAAGCCGCGCCTCCCGCAGCAGGTCGCACTGCCTCGCCAGGTTTGTGTTGGCGTTCTGGCAGAAGTACAACGACCACGAGCATCCCATAGGCAGGGCTCGGCAGCAAGGGTGCACCACATCGTCGCCGCTCGCCACGCGGCCCTCCACAGTCTCCACTGAGTCTAGGCGGAGCTCGCTAACGGTCAGGGCGGGGAAGGCGAAGAGGGGGCTCATCCAGGGCGGCATCACCCTCCTGCGAATGCAATTCTCCACGTCGCCGACGCCGAGGCACAGGCGGAGCGCCCGCAGGATGCCCCAGCTCGAGTCCTTCAGCAGGCACGGGTCGCCGTCCACGGCGACCTCGAGGCGCGAGAGGCCCTCCGCCGTCGGCAGGTCTACCCGAGGTGGAGGTAATAGCCGCTGGTTGGTAGGGCGCGCATCTGTAATCATCCGCATCTTCTGTCTACCCTTCTTCCAGACGAAAAAGGCTCCGACAAAATCTACAGGTTCCGACGTATATCGTAGCATGCCACTGGAATGCAACCTCTTCATGAATCGAACCAGTAGTCGCCTACTCTTTGTGAACGCTGGGTCCAGGTGAGGCCGCACTGGATCGCTCTGTCGGAGGCGTTCAAAATCTGGGACACTTCGTAGCATCCGCTCTCCACGACCCTCCAGAAAACGTAGGCCCTCTGCGTCGAGAAGCCGCTCCAGGCGCGGGGCGTCCTGGGTGCTCTCCGGCAATGACACGAGCCCGAGCTGGAAGGGAGCTATGTTCGGCTGGCCCGGCTCCTCGTAGGACCCGCGACCTCGGAGCAACTCTAGATAGGCCGCTCTCGGCGAGGGCGCGTCAGGCACCGGCTCCTGGGCTCGTACCAGTCCATCGACGCGCGCAGTCACTTCGCTGTGGATGTCCGTGCCGCCGCCACTGCCGGCTGAAGGCGAGCCGGCCGCCTGTGCCGACCAGTTCAGGGCGTCAATCGCCCTGCTGACCAGTCGTACGCGCAGATAGCGACCTCGCGGCCCGCGGCTAAGACGACCGCCCCCACGTGCTGCATGTGGCTCCTCCAGCCGCGGTAATGGGAACAGATGGCGTTCTCCGCGAGAGGCTGGAAGGCGCCCAGCACCGGGCCAAGTCAGCTGCGCGCCGAGGGGGGGCCCATTCCCCTCGGCGATCTCCTCGCTCATGATTTCTCGGCGGCCGCGGGGTTCCCGGCCTTGGGCAATGCGCCCCTGCCACGACCGCGACCGCCGTCACCGCGTCCTCGTCCACGGCCCCTCGGCCCTTCGCCGGCTGCGCCCTCGAGCGCGTCGTCGCCGCCGGCTCCGCTGCCACCTCCAGGGAGGCCGCGAACCCGCTGGGCCCCCGTCTCCATGTCGATCTCCTCCTTCGCTCGCTTCGCCCCGTACTGCCGCAGCTCGGGCGCGATGGCACCCACCGCCGGGGTCACCCCGCTGTAGAAGCGAGCCATCTGCCAGTTCGGGGCTCGCCCAGGGATCCTGTACGCGTCTAGGATGGTCTGGAACCTCTGCGCCAACGCCTCGAAGCTGGCCAGCGCGGGGACGTTCAGCTGGTCGAAGGTAGAGGCGTAGAACATCATGTCCACGAGACAGTTCAGCTCGTGCATCACTCGATCATTCACGTCCACCTGCTTTGTGCGGGCCCACAGCTGCAGCCACAAACGCGGGTCGCCCCCCGTCCTCTCGATGTGCTTCATCACCTGCAGGTACGTCGACGGGCCTTCGAGGGGCCAGTGCTGGTCAGGCACGTGGAAACTCTCCTGCACCGCCTTGCGGTATGGCTTGTACCTCTCGCCCTGCTCATCGTAGTCGATCCACAGTGTGCGAGCGTCCTCCGCCACTGGAGGCGGCGTGGCTGTGCCGCCGACGGCGCCCGCACCCTCGGGCGCCTCGGCCGACGGCCCAGGCGGCGGTCCAGGGGGCGGAACCAGCGGAGCTGCCCCAGCTGGCCTCAGCTGGTCGGCCAGCTCCTCTCGGCGGGCTCGCACGAACTCGTCCACCTCCGTGATAGGGACGAGCTCGGCCCGGCGGCCCTGCCCCCGGCGGGTGATCATCGCGTCGTAGTCCGAGAGCCTGAAGTCATCTGGCCCCAGCACCACCTCATCGCCCAGGTTGCCAGCGCGGCCGCCCTCCGCGAGCACCCACGCGTGACCACGCGGCGTGTCCAGCGGCCCCGCCCGGGGATACCCTGGGCCGGCGCCGTCGCCGGCAGCGCCCAGCGCGGGGGCGGCGCCCGCGTCGGAGCCGGCAGCCGCGTCGCCAGGGGGCCCGTTGTCGGCCCCGGCCGCTGCCGCCGCTGCGCCGCGGCGCAAGGGGGGGCGGCGAGGCAGGAAGCGGCCGCCGAACAGGGTGTCGAGCGGCACCACCTCACGATCGGGCATCACCACGTCCGCGACCTCGATCGGTGGGTCACCCGCCGCAGCTCCGTCCTGCAGGGCCAGACGCCGGCCCTCGCGGATGTACCCCTTCAGGGCGTCCAGGTCGAGCGCCTCCTTGAACCTGTAGGCGGGCTTGTCGAGCCGGGGAAGACGCCCGTCGGGGCGCAGGCCGACGATCCGCACCACGCCGTCGACGCCCTCGCTGCCGTCCAGCATCTCCGAATACATGTCATAGTCTGGGGTCAGGATGACCCACCTGGCGTGCGTCTGCGGCCACAAAGCCACCCGCTCGTGGTACACGCCGCCCCCATCGCACCAGGCCAGGTAGTGCCTACCTGGCAGGAGGCGCCTCAAGAACTCCGCCTCCGCGCCGAGCCCAACGAGCGCCATGGCCTCTGCCGCGTCCGAGGGGCCTGCGCCCCACGCTCGTCACCCAGCCGATGCCCGTCTGCACCGCCCAGGTGACCGCGCCGATGATCAGCACCTCTTCCCTGCTGAGCTCCGTCGGCGGGCAGGCCGCCGGCTCCGGGCACACGCGCGCGGGCGCCGCTGGGCACGCGCAGGGCGGCGCCTCCGCGCACGTCTCCGGGCAGATCGGCGGCTCCGGGGGAATGGGGCAGGCCTGCCTCCGCGTGCCCAGCGCGAGCAGTCCCGCGGCTACCGGGCCACTGGGGATCTGCGGGAGGGACACGGGCCGCATGCAGCTCGAGGCCGCAGGTCGAAGAGAAACCACTCAGCCAAAACAGAGCAGCTACAGAGAAGCTGTTCGGCACCGCAGTGCGATTTCCCAAAACAGCGCATGCGCGACGGAGCAAAGACCCCCGCGGGGCGAAGCGCGATTATCCACGCGCCCACGCACCGAGAGGGTTGGGGTCCACGACAGGGCCCGCTATTTTACATCATTCATGTGCACGCACCCCCAGGCTCGTCTGCTTGCCCGTTCAGATGGCCCCAGGCAACGGCCATTTTTCTCTGGTCCTCATTCCTGATTGCCTGTGCCTTCTGTCCATGTTCTCGACGGGCTCGCAGGGCTTCCGATTTTACCTTTTTTCGGCCTCGAGTCTAGCAGCTTCGAGTAGACTACGGAGCTCCTGGTCTTCGCGTGGCGCTTGTTCTCGAGCCTCTTTCTCTCCTTCCCCCCTGGCAGCGTCGGCCACATCTCTGTATTCGGCTTTCTCTTTCTCAGCCTGCTGATGAGAAACTGTCACCATTTGTTTAGCTACATGTCGGATTTATCTGTTCTCGTTCTCCTCTTCCGCAAGACGCCGCTGGGCCGCGTCCGTAATTCCTGCTGCGCGAGCTTCTGCATGCTGCATCCGTCTCTGCGCGTCTTCCGCAGTGGCAGTTCTCTCTTGTTCGACCTGTTGTGCCATTGCCTATCTTTCTGCTTCAGAGTCTGCTAGCATCCGCTCGGCTTCTTCAGCGGCTCTGTCATCCACTTGTGCATCGAGGATAATCTGCTGTATGTTAGCACTCGCGGCTCGCAATTGTTCTCGATCCTGCGTATTTTTTCCCATCCCACTCCTGGGTGGCAAATGAGCGGCAGTTGCGTTCCTCCAGTCCAATGCATTCCCCGCAGAGCCATGCAACACTACAATTCGAAAAATTCGAACGCACTGGTCTGCGACGCGGCCCCCCCGGTTTGCGCGCTTTCCCCCGGACATCGGTTCCCCGCCCGAGGCGGGCGCCTAAGCCAAGCATTCCAACAACTATCCTTTATCGAGAAGCTACTGGTGGTCCTATTTGACGATGACCGAGGTGACTCAAGGGCATTGAACCTTCTGGAGCTGGAGCGTCCGGCCCTGAAGGCCTTCCTGTGTCCCCTGCTAGAGGCAGGATTATGCTGTTCCCTTGCTCTTACACCCGTACTGGTGAAATCGACATCCTGCTTTTGGGCCAGTTCGTCTTGTCCGTCCTGCATCGCCGGCTCATCGAATTCTGGCACCCTGTCTCTGCTAGACCTCGTCGATGCGAAGTCTGGTCGATGAACGCCTCCCGGCAAAGGGGAAGCATTTAGGGCGTCGTCCCCATTCTGAGGCTTCTTTATCCGTGGAAGTGGAGTTGTATCCGTGGGCTCTTGCATGCCTGACCGTGCCCGAACCTTCGCGCGAGTTCAGCGTCGGCTGGGCCGACGAACTCTTGCCTCGATCTGGGCTTCATCCATCTCCAACATCATCATCCGAATCAAGAATAGCCTGCTGGAGTGCATCGACCGTTGCATAGTCAACTGTCTCGTCCTCAGACAGATCTGCGCCTGGGACGAGCCCGTCGGGCCCATCAGCGAGGGAATGATGGTGATGAGATGGGCCAGGCGAGGTATGAAATTGAGCATACTCATCATTCCTCTCAGTTGAATGCGAGCTGTCCCTTTCAGATTGTGGATCGCTCTCTTCCTCGCCCTGACCATGAATTTCAAATTGCGCTACTTTTCCAATGCTGCGGCTACCTTGATCTAACTTTTCTCTGGGAATCCGTTCCAGCAGCTTCTCCATCTCATGGTCTAAATCAATCGACGGTTGAGAACTCGGGTGTGCCGGCGCTAGATCGGACGGCCACCCGGCGGGAGTTCTGGCTGTGCCATACCTCCCGCTCGGGGTTTGTTCCCTTATCGCTGTCATCGAATCAACCGGAAAGCCCATCTCTGTCAAATCGAACGCTGTGTTCGACGCTTGCGTTTCTGGAAGGCGGAGAGAACTAGGTCGCCTCATAGAGGCGACTGCACCATACACGCGCTCGGAACGATCTCGTTCTTCTTTTCTTCCGAGCGCTCTTTCCCGTGACCCCATGCTCTGCGAAGCTAGCGGCTGTGCCGCCGCTTCGGCTGATAACATGTCTTTGGCCTCAATATTCATAGTCCCTGCCATATGTTCCGATGATATATCATGTTCGATGGGCTTCTCGGATGACATGGGAAGAAAGGATAATGCCGCTAAGCTAACAATAGGATAACCCTGAAGGGAGGAGGCCGGCCCGCCGACCGACGCACGCGCGCGCGCCGCAGGCTCGCTCCTTTTCTGTTTCCCTAGAGCAAAATAGCTTCAGGCAACATGCAAGTCACAAGTAGTACAGTACGTAGTAGTGCAAAGAAAAGAAGGCAACGGGCGGCAAAAAGGTGGTGCGGAAGGAGTGCATTGACTCCGGCCCCTCCCAAGAGAGCCCCAAGAAGGGCTCCAGAGAGTCAGCGTCGTCGTCGTCGCCGCCGCCGTCGTCGCCGTCCCCCACTCAGGCTCGGCGGCAGCGGCCGTGAGGCCTTCCCAACATAACAACGTGTTGCTCACATCTACACGTCTACCGCCTCCGAAAGCCGCCGAGGGCCTGCCGTCCAACGGCGGCGCCACCCGCGCCAGGAAGCGCGCCACCTCGGCGCAACCGTTGCTGGGCGCGCCTCCGGCGCCCGCGCCCGCAACGGCCGCCACGGCGGAGCGGCCGCGCCGGGGCGGGCAGGCGGGGATGGACTCCTGAAGCTGGCTCTAAGATCTAAAACCCGGGCCCCAAGACCGTCAAAGAATGATCCTGGACGAGAAACCGGTTCCCAGGAAGTGGTCCAGAGCTCCAGGGACCCCGTGTTGAAAAAACTATGGTGGCGAGGGACCCAGTCATGTGCAGTTGTGAGTGCCGTCGTTGCGGCTATCGCCTTCGGGGGATCTCCTCATTGGGTCATCACGCATGCGACAGGTGCGCCGATATGGGACGGGGCCGCCATGTGGGCGCTGCCACTGGGGCTTGAGGCGGAAACCATCATGGGGCCGCGAAACGTTTGAGGGTTGCTCCGTACCGCCACTGGGGCCCTCGGTGGAGCTCCCTATGGTGCTACGGAACTAGGGAACGCTGTACTGAGTTGGGGAGGCGCATGAGAACACCGCCACTGGGGCCTTTGGTGAAGCTCCCCATGGGGCCACGAAGCGCTGCACTGGGCGGGGGAGACGCATGCGAGTGCAGCCACTGGGGCCTTCGGTGGAGCTCTCTAAGGGGCCACGCAGCGCTGTACTGGGCGCGGGAGGCGCATACTGATGAGGGAAGAAGCAAAGAGGGGGAGGAGGGAGGAGGGAGGAGTGGGAGGAGGGCGGCAGGTGACGCGGGGCGCTGTCTCTTCAAAACGAAGACCCAACACCACAGGATGGTTGGGAACAAACATCATCGGAGTTTTTCGCAACCAGCGAGTTGACCCCGTTTCTGGGCCCTCACGGATCGATCCAGCTCGAAAATGCAACAAAAAGATTATGTCTACGGCTCTGGTCGTTATTATGTACGATGTTGCATTTTTCGTGACGTCGGATCTCAGGTTAAAAAACGAAACCGCATCTGACTCCAAAACAATCAACCTCACACACCCGGCAAGCCCAGTGCCTCGGCATGACTGCACCAGTGCAATCGTAAGGCTTCTGCGTCCCAGGAACGTCTCCGATGTTCTCCTGTGGGGAGACTCCTTCGAGGTTCTCTGGGGGGGGTCCAAGCTCGGCCCAAGTTGAGTGTGGAGGGGGCGGGCCCTGGAGGAAAGGGGCCTGGAAGTGTGGATCGCAGCTTCTGGGCCCCTGCTTGGGGCCCTCCTGCTCAGCAGGCCCAGAGCCAAGGGTCGCCAATGACCCGCTCGGATTGGAGAACTGGTCCAAGAGGCACTGCCGTGTTTTTTGGCAATGTGGCAAAGGTCAGGACCCCTTCCCAGGGACTAGCTTCTCATCTGGAGGGGTTCCCCAATTAGGCTTGCCTCAGGGGGGTCTTACTTGGAGAAAGGTTGGTGCCTCGTATTCTTACTTCGCCCGTTGCCGGGAGGTTCCTCGGGTTCCCCGCGCTCAGTGCCTCCGATTGTTACGTTGCCCGTTCCCTCGGGGTTCCTCGGGTTCCCCGGGTTCCTCAGGTTCTCCGCCCCCGGTGCCTCGTTGCCAAGCAATGCCAAGCAATGCCAAGCACCGCGCCCATGCAATAGGAAGCTTTCCCCTAATTCGGGTCGTGCCGGGTTCATTTTTTGACGTTCCCAAGGCCTGGCGAAGGCTTTCGGGAGCCAAAAATTGGGCAAACCCTCGATCCGTCGTGACTGTTGGTCCTATAGGACCCGTTGCCCTCAGGACCTCGTTTCCTTCGCGGCAGCAGGTGCAAGCAGACGGGAGGAGCTGCAGGAGGACGCCCCGAGTCGCGAGGGGCGGCATCCAACGATAGACCACGAGCACGCGGCCCCGCCCCTCGTGAGGCGCCGCGGCGTCGACTGTCAAGCTGGATCGATCCGCAAAGGCCCTCCCTCGCCCCTCGCCGTCGCCCCTCGCCGCCGCCGCCGCCGCCGCCGCCGTCGTCGTCGCGGCCGTCGCCGCCGCCGTCGTCGTCGTCGTCGTCGTCGTCGTCGTCGTCTTCGTCGTCGTCGTCGTCGTCGTCGTCGTCCTCCCCCTTCCCATTTAGAGTTCCAGGAGAGCTTGGCTTCGCATTTCTTCGCCACGAGCGATTTTGCCATTTTTCGGCACCGGGAACCTCACGGACCGATCCGGCTCGAAAAATGAAGCAGAAATATCGGGTACAGGGCTTCGGTCGAGTTTTGTGGTACGATGTTGCATCTTGTTGATCGCAGGAAACTGCATGTTCTTCTTCAAATTGGAGCAAGAGGGTGGAGAGTGGAGCGGAGCGGAGCGGCGGCCGATCATCCGTCCCACGGGCGGCTCCGGCGCAGAACGCGCGGGGAGGCGGGAGGGGCGTTATCCAAGGAAGCAGTGAGGCGTTGAAGCGTCAGACGAAGAGACGACGACGGCGACGACGACGAGGGGGTGAAGTACTGGCACGCTGGCACAGCAAACGCATGCCCAGGGTCGCTGTTCGACGGTCCCAGGCCTCGGCTAAGGCCTCCGGAGGCCGAACATGGGCAGAAGCCTTCCGTTGTGGCTGTTGCTGTTGCTCGTTATTGTCTTACGACACCCTGGGGCTCGGAAGAGGGCCCCCCTGGAGGCTGACCACATGGCTCCAGACCCAATCGGGCATTGTGATTCTTTCGCGATGCCAGGAGGTCTGGGCGGAGGCGCGCGGCAGCGGCGGCGGCCGACAGCGGCGGCCGACGGCGGCGACCGGCAACGGCGGCCGAACGCGGCGATCGGCAGCGGCGGAGGCGCGGCGCCGGCGAAGGCTGAGGATGATGGCTCCTGCCGCGGCCGCGCGAGCGCGCGGCAGGCGGCCCGCGGCGCCGCGGCGCCGCAGAGTGCCGCGGGCAGGGCCGCCGCCAGCAGCGCCTCGGCGCGCGCGCGGGCTCTGAGGCAGACTGCTGGCCGCGGCGCGGCGGGCCCACTGTCCCGCGGCGGGATTTTCGTGACCAGCCGGCCGGCCGGCCCGCGGACGCTGAAGGCGGAAGGCATGGAGCGCAGTTCCCAGACCCCCTCGCGTCGTGACAAAAATCGCGACGGTAGGTTTCTTGCAATTTTCGGACTGTGGGAGCCCTCGCCAGGCCCATGGGCCGGCAATAAAGAACTCAGGATGAACAGCTGGTGCCTGGGGAATGGATCGAGACCTCTGGAGGTTTGCGTCGTGGGTCTGCTTGTGCGCCTGAAGGCGCCGGGCCCCCAGGGCCGGGCCCCCGAGGACGGCGGGATGGAGGACGAGGAGGCGGAGGGGACGAGGATGAGGGGAGGAGTGGACGTGGGGAAGGGGTGAGGAGGCGAGTGCGGAGGGTGGCGGAGAAGGAGAGCGCCAGGGGCCCATGGGACGTCCCTGGGGCCGTGCCTGGGGACGTGCCTGGGGTCGTGTCTGGAGGTGCGTCAGGGCACGGCCTGGGGACGTGTCAACATGTCAAGGGGCGAATCTGGGAGCGCGTTTGACGTCCTTGGGGACGTACATGGGGTCGTGCCTGGGGACGGGTCTGAGGGTGTGCCTGGGTGTGCCTGGAGCCGCATCTGGGACGGTAATTTGTCTGAACTTGCCCTGGGATCCCTTCGGTACAATTTGTTCACCACGAGCGATTTATCCTAGCTTCGGGCCTCGGGACCCTCACCGATCGATCCGGCTCTAAAAATGCAGCAGATGGATGAGCTCGAGGGCTCAGGCCGATTGTTTAATACGATGTTGCATTTGCTTCGCAAAATCGAATCTCAGGGGAGCAATCCGAGTGTTGGAAAGGATACCTCCACGTAGCCCAAGTCCATCAGACGTTCCAGTGCGCGGCCGCGCCCACAGACCAGGAACAGTCCTCACCCCAATGCGTGGCATACACGCCTCGCGGGTGTCGCAATGGATCCACCTGTTAGTTGCTCAGACAATTCTTGCCTCTGGCTCAGGCCCTCCTGTGTCTCTGGGAATGCTGACGGCATTCGCGTACGTTTAACTGTAGAAAAGGATTTGCTTCACATCGTGGACCCCCACAGGTCTGGACCACCTCCCAGAGACTGGTTTCTCATCCCGAGCCGTTGTTCTACAGTCCTAGGGCCCGGCGAGGGCTCCTGGAGGCCGAAAACTAATAAGACCTTCCGTCGTGTTTTTGATAGCAGCGAGAGGATGTCAGGGTTCTCTGCCGCATCCCCTCTGCCTCTCCATTGCCCGAATGGCCGGTGCCCGCCATCGGTAGCAGCGCCGCAGCAGCGGCGCCGCTCAGGCAGCCAGTCGCGAGCCGCCTCGGGTGGGACAAAATCAAAGCGAAACGAACAACCACAGACCTGATATGAGAAGAAGCCAGGGCCTGCGCTGGATCGAATCGCAGCCGCACCGCTGCAGAGTCTGTGTAAGATTACTGGGCGGGCTGGGCTGCACCTTGGCAAGGCTTCGGGCTGCGCACAAACAGCTCCCCCGGCAGTCTGTGTGCAACCCGACCTGTACCAAGCGGGGTGGGCTTCGGCAGGGCCGCCTCTGGTAGTCTCGGGAGGGCTCCAGACGCCCAGGAAGGACGAACGGCTTCGAAAACGTATATCCTCGATTCGATCATTGATCCCCCTCGTCCATCCCGTCTCCAATGCTGGCCTTTGGATGTCGCTCATTCAACGACGCCCTGGCCGACCACTGCTCGCACGGCCCCGTCCACTTTTTTGGCGGGGCGCACCCTTGTCGTCGGCGCCGGGCAGGCCTGGTCCTGAACCCCGCGATGGCGAAGTCGGCGTTGAGGACAAGTGTGCGGTTGCGTGAAATTGCTCTGTTTGCTTCTGCCTGCCATCCCTTCCCGCTGCCCCTCTGGGTTTCCGTTGTGGTCCCTCATTCCCCTTGGCTCCGTGGTCCCCGCTGCACCCGTCTTGCCAACCTCCCGTGGTCCGCCACTGTCGCTAAGCGTGAGTTGTCCTGAGCGTTTCCCAGCTGCCCCCTCCCTCGAAAATCGGGTATCGTTTTGGTAGCTTCCCCGCACGTCCCTTCTCTCGGCAGTCTCCCTGGGGGACGCGCGCACAGCGAGGTTCCTATGGGTGGACCCTGTGCTCCTCGCGAAGGTGGGTGAATCCAATACTTCCAGACCCTTCTCCCACTAGCTCCGCCGCGTCGCTGCGCGCGTGGTCACAACTCCAGGAAGTGTGCGTGAAATGGCGCGCGTGTGTGTGTGTGTGTGTGTGTGTGTGGGATGACGTGTGTGTGTGTGTGTGTGTGTGTGTGTGGTTCGTGCGTGTGCGTGCGCGCGCGTGTGTGTGTATGTGTGTATGTGGCACGGTTTAGGCTTGAGCGCCGCTGACATACATGTAATGGCAATTCGAAGTTGCGAATCTCGCATCTCGCTAACTTGCTGTTGTTGCACTGCTGCGGCGCATGAACAGGGTTGGCGTGCGAGCCCCCTCTGAAATTACGGGCTGATCGTTCAAATTGCGTCTCACCCAAGAGTCCACGACTGTTTTCGGTCTCGCTGGCCAACGACCTGTGCAAGACAATTACCGTTGCCAGATAACTATTGAGGCGATAGCTGTGCTAAAAAGAAAACCAGAAGAAACAACGCGGGCGTGTGTGTGCGTGTGTGTGTGACAGGGGGAGAGAGAGTCCAACTTACCCACCAGTGCGCTTCTAAGCTGCTCCGGCTCCGCGTGGCGGCGCTAGGGTTCGACGTCGGAACAATGTCGTCTGCGCCAGCCGACACATGTGTGTGGGCGTGGGGGGAGCAAGGAGTGGGAGGGCGGGTTGAAGGACAGGGATGCGCAAGTAAGAGGGAGAGACCCAGGGAGAGAGGATAAAAATAGCGAGATCGAAACAGCGCGAGCGGAATGTCCGTCCGGGCGCGGGGTCTACTAGCGCCTTCCGCGCCCACCTCTTGTGGCGGGGGGGGGGCCGCTTGTGCAAAGCACGGGTGGGTGGTTGCCCATCCCCCTGACGCGGTCTGTGGGGACCGCGACTGCAAAAACAATAGCGGGGAGTGGTCACAAGAGCGAAGCGCGCCCCTTCTGCCCGCCCGTGAACAAAAAGGCACAAGTTCTACGCGCGCTTTAGCATGCGTGATCCAGCGCTCGTGACAAAAGGTGCCACCTCGGGGCGTCCCCCGCGGCGGCCAAGCGCTAGAGCTACGGAAAAGTTGCCAGCAGCTCCCGCAGCGCACTCATAACATGGAAAGGGGAACACTGGTGCGCTATCGGTGAGCATCGATGCGCGCCTGGTGGCTAAACCGGGGAGAAGCCCCGGGGCGAGCAGGCGATAAAGCCTGACGAAGATCGACCAAGGTTGGCCGTGCTGTTTCGGACATGTCAGGGCGGGGTCCTGACTGCTCCTGGGTGCTACGCAGCTGATAGCCAAGCCTCGTAGCACACTGATGCATCATCGCGATGCAGGTAGTGCGGTCTGCGGTTAGTCCGGCGGTCGGGGTCGGCAGATTGACTAGGGGTCGCAAGGCCACTCGGTGGCCTGCACTGGAGTCAGACGGGTGCCGCCACCCTGGTAGATGATGCTGGGGCCGTGAGGCCGTGGTGCTTTCACTCTGGTCGCATCGCCGACAATGTGGTTGGCTGCGCTGGCCGTGCCGACCGCGCCTTCTGGCAGGTGGATGGGCTGCCTCGGCGCGGGCCGAGCGCGGTCTTCGGCCGCCTCATCCTCGCCGAAAGGCGGGCGTGCAGGCTGGTTTAACGCTGCCCTCGCTCAGTCGGCCTGGCAGATTGCGCTGCGTTGAGGGCCTGGGTACGCGGCGTCGCTGTCCAGCCCGCGGGGGCGCGGCGACGGCGCTGGTCCTCCCAGGAAGCCAATCTGCGACTTGTCACCAATGCCGCGCAGGTCCTCCTCTCGCCGCCCGCGGGCGCCTGGGGCGGGCGGGGGCTGGGCGGTCGCCCGCCTCCAGAGGCGCAGTCGCCATGTGCCTTCTTCAGGGCCGGGGGGAGGGTGGGGGGGCGGGGGCGCGATGGGGGGGGGGGCTGCGATCCGCGCGGTCGAGCCCCCGTTTAATCTGCGGTGCGATCGGCCAAGGGCGCCCTGCGTCGCACCGTCGCGCTCTCGCCGTGGCGGTGCACGACGTGCCGTGCAGACGCACTGCCCAATTTGCCAGGCCGTCCCGCGCTCGCTTTGCTCGTGGACGCCCGACTGCTGGCCGCGCAAATGCCGCTGGACGTCGAGCTGCACGCGGTACTGCTCGTCGCTGTCGTGCAGCGAGGCTGCTGGCGCCCGCGCGCGCGAGCATGCCCTGGCGGGCTGACCTCCTTGCGCTGCTCGTCACACTCGTAAAAATGGTGGCGTTGGCGCTGGTTCCCGTCGCAATGTTCGACGCCGTGGCGCCCCGCCCTCTGGCGCTGGTCAGCGTCGAGGCGGCGGTGGCCGACGCGCCGCTGAGGGACCCGATAGCACTGGGCGCCGTCGCACTGCCCATCGTCGTGGCACTCAGCTCCGTCGCGCTGCTCAGCGTCGAGGTACAGGTCGCAGGCGTGCTGCTGAAGGGCGCGGTTTTCGATGCACCGCTCATCTCGCTCGTGGGTGCGAGGATGTTTGGGGCGGGCCTCGTCGCGTTGATCGCCGTCGCCGCGGTCGATTTTGCCACGCTACGCGGTGCCGCTGCGGCCCCGAACGCGCTGCTCGGCGGCGCAGCGCGCGTTGCCGCGCTCGTCTCGCTCGTGGGTGCGGGACTGCTGATGCTGGTGCCCGTCTTGGCGCGCGCGACGCCGCGGCGCTTGGCCCCGCCGTCGCGCGCGGCGCCCGGGCGGAGGCCCCTGCCCCGCCGCCGGGGCGCGCAGTGTCCGCTGCACTGCTCGCGCGCCTCGCGGGCGCACGGCTGTCGCGGCTGCATCGCGCCGCGATGCTCAACGTCGCGCTGCTGCAAGCCGCGGCGTCCGAGGCGGCGCTCGTCTCGCTCGCGGGCGCGAGGCTGCCGACGCCGCATGTTGCGACTGTGCACGTCGCGACGTTGATCGCCTCCGTCGCGCTGCCCAGCGGCCCGCAGCTGGCCCCAGACGTGTTTCTCGAAGACATGGCTCTCGTTTGACTGATCGCCCCACTCGCAACTGCGCGGGCGCCAGAGCTGGACCCAATCGAGTCGAACTGCTCAACGACATGGTGCTGAGCTCCGTCGCACTGCGCCGTGCCGACGTGGTTCCGGACGTGCTGCTCGATGGCAAGATGCTCGTTGCTCTGCTCGTCTCACTCGTGGATGTGAAGCTGCTGATGCTGGGCCCCCTTTTGGTTCGCGGCGTCGCGATGCAAAGTCTCGCCGGGCTGCGCCGCGTCGAGGTGGCAGCCCCTTGCGCGCTGTTGACAGGCGCGGTGGTCGCTGCACTGGTCGTCTCACTCGTAAATGCGAAGCTATTGGCCCAGGATCCCGTCGTACTGCGCAACGTCGAGATAAACAGCTCCGTCATGTTTCTCAATGTCGAGGCGGGCGCGGTGGTCTGGTCACAGATCGCTCCTCTCGGCGCGAGGCGGCTGATGCTGGATCCCGTGGCGCTGCGTGTCGCGGCGGTTCTCGACTCCGGCGCGCGACACTGCGTCCCAGCGCTTTTCGCGTAGGTGCTGCTGCCGGACGTTCTGCTCGTAGCACTGCAAGTCGCAGTCGCGAGTGTGAGGGTGCTGGCGCTCGCGCGCGCGAGCCCCGGTGGGATGGCCATTGGCCCAATTTCGCTGCTGTTCACACTCAGGTATGCGAGGGCGTTGGTGATGGCCCCCGCCCCACCTTTTGCCGCCGTGGCGCAACGCCCTCTCGCGCCGCTCGGTGTCGAGGCCGACGCGCCGTGAAAAGTAATGGCGGGTTCCGCCATGCCCCCCGACGTCGCGGCACTCGACTTCGTCGCGCTGCTCGGAGTCGGGGCACTGGTCGCACGCGCGCTACTGGGAGACGCCGTGGGCGATGGCCCCAAGCGTGGTGCTCCAAGCCGCGGTGCTCCTTGCGCCGCTCGTCTCACTCGAAGATGTGCGGTTGCTTCTGCCGGGTCTCGTCCTGATGTGCAACGCTGCGGGGCCCGATGCAGTCGCGCTACTCGTAGTCGAGGCGGTGGTCCCTGACGTGCTGCTCGAAGTCGCGGTGTTCGTCGCCCTGCTCGTCCCGCTCGTAAATGTGAGGCCATTGGTGCTAGATCCCGTCGTGTTGTCCACCCCCGTGGAGCTTAGCTCCGTCGCGATCCCCAGTGTCCAAGTGCTGGTCACAACCGTGCTGCTGAAAGACGCGTTGGTTGCTGGAATGTTCGTCTGTCTCGTGAGGGCTGAAGCCCGTCGTGCCGTTGGACGTCGTACTGATCGATTTCGTCGT